TATAAATCTGTAAGACCCCTTTAAATCCTCTTGCTATACCTCTAAGAGGCCCCCATAGTTTTACAAGGAAGCTTTGTCTATAGAACATAGAATTTGCATGTCAGCAAGAAATAGCTTTGATAAAATGTGTATTTACTAAAATCCTTGAAACTTAACCTTGAGAAACTAACAAGTGACAGCTACGCTCCAAATGGATAGCTGCCAAAAGGCCCCTCCCGTCGAGTGAGCTCCTCATTTTAACAAAATGGCGCTAAGACCTGTAGGAGTTAAGAAATTACGTAGATAGTGACCTAAGAATGGGGAGAGCATTTTACTAACATCTTAGCACCTAAGCCAATTAACAATGTCTATTTGTCTATATCTTGATTTTCTTCAATGATGTAATAATGCCTTTATAAGGGTTTGCGCACCCATTTTCTGGCAGAAGCCATTAAACTTCTCTGAAGTTCTTTCATTACCCTGAACCTTGTGTCTCAGTGTGAATTTACTTCTGCGTGCACGCAACTTTATTATCTTTAATTTGGACAGGAACAGATAGTCATTCAAACTAATTGGTTTGCAGTAAATTATCTACAACAATATGGTTTGCTTTTACTGCAATAAAATACACATATTTGTATTCAGTAAAGTCTCACGTGTAAGACAGTACCCCCTATGTACAGGTTTTATGGCGTTTTGGGAAGTTACAGGGTCAAATATAGCATGTTACATTTGAAATTGAAATTAGCCAGATTAGTTACGTTGCCTTTGAGACTGTATAGTAGCCCAGGAATGAAATTTACACCCATAATGGCATACCATTTGCAATAGTAGACAACCCAAGGTATTGCAAATGGGGTATGTCCAGTCTTTTTTAGTAGCCTTTTGGTCACAAACACTGGCCAAAGTTAGCGTTAGTATTTGTTTGTGTGTGAAAAATGCAAAAAACACCAATTTTGGCCAGTGTTTGTGACTAAGTGGCTACTAAAAAAGACTGGACATACCCTGTTTGCAATACCTTGGGTTGTCTACTATTGCAAATGGTATGCCATCATAGGGGTAATTTTCATTCTTGAGCTACCATAGGGTCTCAAAGGCAACGTAACCAATCTGGCGAATTTTAATGTGAAAAAAATGAAACGCAAGCCTTATATTTGAAGCTGTAACTTTTGAAAACACCATAAAACCTGTACATGAGGGGTACTGTTGTACTCGGGAGACTTAGCTGAACACAAATATTTGTGTTTCAAAACAGTAAAAAGTATCACAGCAATAATATTGTCCGTGTAATGCTGTTTGTGCGTGAAAAATGCAAAAAAACTTCACTTTTAATGGCGATCTCATCGTTGTAATACATTTTACTGTTTTGAAACACTAATATTTGTGTTTAGCGAAGTCTCCTGAGTAGAACAGTACCCCCCATGTACAGGTTTTATGGTGTCTCGGAAAGTTATAGGGTTAAATATAGTGCTAGCAAATTAAATTCCCTTTACTTTTGCATGGGTTGTCAGGCAGGTCCTGCTAATTGTAATTAATTAAGATACCTAATTATGTAAAAATATTACATAAATATATATGTAGAATTAATATATGTATATATATACGTATGTATATATATGTATATATCTATATAATTTTTTAAAAATATTTTTATTTATATATAGGTATATATACGTATATATTTATGTATATAGATATATATATTATTTCATTCTACGTGTATTTTGATATATATATATATATATATATTAATTTCACAATACAGTTAGAACGAAATAACACACATCTATATATTTTTTAATTATTTATTTTTAATTATTTTTAAAATTTTATTTTTTAACGTATTTACATTTTTTTTATATTATATATAAATATATATATATATATATAACAATAATTATATATATATTTAATCAGTATCAGTCTGTGTATAATTTGATATTAATATATATATATATATATATATAATTATATATATATATTAATAGTAAAATACACCTAAACGGTGTACGTGTGTGTACGTGTGTGTATGTATATGTGTATATATATATATATTGAGATCATATATATATATATATAATATATATATATGATCTAAGTATATATTATTATTTTTTTTTACACTATTTATTTATTTTACTTTTATTTTCAGCCAGCAGGGGGACCACCTGTAATTACAGGCAGCCCCCCTGCTGGCAATGCAGGAGGCAGCTACCCCCGGCCATGTGATTGTGGGGTCCTCGCGAGGACCCCACTCTCACATGGCCCGGGGGCTTCGAGGAGGACGGACGTGCCGGCGACCGGGTAAGTACCGAAAGACCGGAGGGCGTACTATTACGCCCGGCGGCGTTTAGAGCCGCTTAGAATAGGGCGTAATAGTACGCCCTCCGGTCTTAAGGGGTTAAAGTTGCACGTTAGGTTGTTTAGTTGGGTACCTTTCCCATTGTGTAAACCTTCAAAGTACAATTAGTGATGCCATCTGTGTATTTTTCATCCTAATGCATGATTTGGATGGCACTCACGTAAAGTATGAGGACCGCATAACTTATGATTGCACTGAGGCAGACAAATAATAGTCTTCTAAAATCCTTGCACCGGCCCTGCTCACAACAACATGTTCTCATCATTAAAGAGTATAGATTCAGTTGTGTGTGGGAAAAAAAATATTTTGATTTGAATAACTAGTAGAAAGAATCTAGATACCGTCTCTTAGAAATTGTTCATTAATGCCGAAGGAAGGATTTCTGAATGATAATCTTGGGTAAAATTTCCAGACACAATTTAAAAAAAACCTGACTGCATCTGAAAACTAGTTTTCAATTCAATTCAAATCCTAAAGCATTTACCGTATATACTCGAATATAAATCGAGGCCCCTAATTTTACCCCAAAAAACTGGGAAATGCAGCAGCTACTGATAAATTTCTAAATAAAATTACCGTATATACTCGTGTATAAGTCGATCTCATGTATAAGTCGAGTGCAGTTTTGTGACCAACAATTGTGAAATATGCTATGCCTCGTGGATAAGTCGAGGGTAAAACTTGGGGCTATGAAATTCTGTGATTTTTATAATTATATACACACACACTCATACAAACACACACTTTGCATTATATATACACACACTCATACAAACACACACTCTGCATTATATATACACACACACTCATACAAACACACATTCTGCATTATATACACACACACACTCATACAAACACACACTCTGCATTATATACACAGATTCTGTGTATATAATACAGAGTGTGTATATAATGAAGAGTGTGTGTTTGTGTAGTGTATGTGAACTGGGTGGGGGGAGGGCATTTTTATTATTTTAATTTTACTATTATTTTTTTTTAATTATCTTAATTTTTTTTTGTCCCCCCTCCCTGCTTGTTAACCGGTCAGGGAGGGGGGCTATCTTAATCCCTGGTGGTCCAGTGGCATGGGCTGTGAAGTAGGGGGGCCGGCAGGAAGCATTTACTTACCTTTCCTGCAGCTCCTGTCAGCTCCCTTCTCCTCCGTTCCGGTCAGCTCCACTGTAAGTCTCGCGGTCTGGTTGCCGCGTGGATCGTTGCCACGGCTCTGACGGCCGCGGCTCTCTAAGTTGCCATAATACAGACAGTGACTTGAGTATAAGTCGAGTGGGTGTTTTTAAGCACAAAAAATGTGGTGAAAAACTAGACTTATACTCGAGTATATACTGTAGATCCCAATAAAATTACATTAATTGAATATTTATTCACAGTGTGTGTATATAATGAATGCAGTGTGTTTGTTTGTGTGTAGTATGTGTATATAATGCAGTGTGTGTTTGTGTGAATGCAGTGTGTGTATATAATGCAGTGTGTGTTTGTGTGAATGCAGTGTGTGTGTGTGTGTGTTTGTGTAGTGTGTGTAAATTGGGTGAGGGGAGGGCATTTTTATTATTTAAATTTTTTATTTTAATATTATTATTATTTTAATATTATTATTATTATTTTAATATTATTATTATATATTAATATTATTATTTTAATATTATTATTATTATTTTAATATTATTTTATTTTAATATTTGTACGTTTTTTTATTTAATAGTTTTTTTGTCCCCCCTCCCTGCTTGTTGCCTGGCCAGGGAGGGTGCTATGTTAATACCTGGTGGTCCAGTGGATGGGCTGTGCAGTGTGGGGGCTGGCAGAGAGCTGTTACTTACCTTCCTGCAGCTCCTGTCAACTCCCTTCTCCTCCGTGCAGCTCCCCTGTCAGCTCCGTTCTGCTTACAGTGTAAGTCTTGCGGTCTGTGTGCAGCGCGGAGCGTTGCCACAGTAACCCGTGGCAACGCTCTGATGGCCGCGGGTGTGGCGAGACTTACACTGTAAGCAGAACGGAGCTGACAGGGGAGCTGCACGGAGGAGAAGGGAGCTGACAGGAGCTGCAGGAAGGAGCTGCCAGCCCCCAACAGGACCGCCGGGCTTGTAATGAGCCCGACGGTCCTGGTCTGTATTATGGCAATGTAAGTTGCCATAATACAGACATTGACGTGAGTATAAGCAAAAAATGTGCCGAAAAACTAGGCTTATGCTCGAGTATATACGGTACTTAATCTAATGTCTTTTGTATTTTTTTCAAATGGATTGCGATTACAAACCTGCTCACATGTCTCTCTGCTTACTAGGGCTTGGAATCCCATTCGCAACCATAACTGGTCGCGTGCCTTGCAGAAGTGGTGCAGATGAAGACGCCAGTTTCCTCCGAGAGCCCAGGGATATATCTGGTTATAAAATGGCTCCTCTTCTTCTATGCAATTTGCCAGATATCTTAAGATAGAAAAGAATTGCAAGTAAGTTACCAAAGTACATAAATGCAGCTCATGCAGTCTAGATATCACAAGTTGTAATGATTTTGCTACAAAAATTGCACATTTGACCCTTATTTTCTGTTTGTTATTTAAACGCTTAATAAAGTACAGTCAGTATGACAAGAGAATAGTTGTTAGCGTCTTAGATTAAAACCCTTAGGGAAGGTTAAAAACACTTACAAAGCTGTAAAAAAGTTGTCCCTATTACATTCTTCTTTCTTCAGTCCTGCTCTCTGGAAGTATGTCATCACCATTGCCAGCAGGTACTAGGAGAATATCAGAATTAGAGTAAGGCTTGTAATAAAGATTAGGAGAGAGAAAATCCTACTAATACAGCACAGGAATTAACATACCTCCCAACTCCTGAATCTATTAAAGAAGGATACCGATGGGAGGGGATAAAGGGGGAGCACCCAGACAGAAATAACTGGCAGTTTCAACATGACGGAATGTAGTCTTTTTTCAATCTAGACAAATATGTAAAGTCAGTCTGGCAAGGCCAGGTAAGGCCTGGTAAGGCCAGGCCACTGAGGATAAGTCATACAAAAGCATTGTTTTAGTGCTCTCTGCAGGGTCCTAGTGATCTTAACATAACACGAGCACATCTAATGATGTGTTTGTAATCTTGTTAGGGATCAGCACCCCCACACATTATATGTCTCATAAAAGCTATTCCTGGAGCTCTGGGGAGAGGAGTACCCTTCCCCTGGTTTTCACTTGTCTCTAAACTTTGCCAACATTGTCTCCAAATAGTGCTGTGATTGGTGGTCAGGGTACTGAGCAACACCCAATCAAAGATTCACTGGATTGTGACACAGGTTTCATCCGGTGAATAGTTCCAGCGAATTATGGTAACTTCCGGTCAGGCGCGTGGTGTGCAGAATAGATCCAGCCAATCCACAGAGTCCCCCATATCCTCCTGAGGGATAGCATAAGCACCCAGGGCAACCATAGCCATACAGTAACAATAGACTTTTTTTTTTCATTATTTAGAGCCTTCTGGGCCTGGGTCTATATAGCTGGCCACCTAGTCCCTCAATAAGCCAAGGGATTAAATCACAGACCATAAAAAAAATAATAAGAGACATATAACAGTAGACGTGAGATTTAATTCACTAAACAGTGAATAAGGACTTTGAAACGATAGTCCAAGTTAGCAGCATTGGAGAAATTGTCCAGGTCCGATATTTATCCTTCGTGGCAAATTTGGCCTCAAATCTGCAACAATTTATTGTTTAGTACATACATCTCTTGAAAGCTAATAGGCAGCAAATAATTACCATATCAATACACTGCATTGTATTGTAAAATTGCAATGAATTTATTTTAAATAATTTCATTTTATAAGTTATTGACTGTGGATCTAAATATCTTTGGCAGAAAAGTCTTGTTAGAATTATTTAGTAGAGAAAACAATGTTTTCTGATAATATTGACATTTGGTAAAAAGGAGACCATATGTTAACAATAATGATAATAATATTATATCAGTAACAATACCTTGTCAGACGACTTGAAATATTCATCAGTATATAGAAATGCTTGGACAATGGCATCATCTGTAATAAATAGGACAAGTAATAGCTATTATAAGACTAGAAATTTTTACTTTAAAATTAACTTTTCCTTACCCCCCTTCATGATGGCTGTGTGTCCCCCTGTGTGTCCTCATCACTTATGCAGTTAGGTTTAATTGATAGTGGGACCTTGATATTGCTGTAATTGTTACTGGTTAGGCTGTATATCAGCAATAGCCCTCCTCGGGCATCCAATCAGAATAGCAGTGGAGAACAGTGTGTCTCAAGCGTGAGATATCCAGCAATATGATTTCATAGCATAACCTGGTAACAGATTGCTATGACAACTGGAGGCAATCTCTCCAACCAGTACCCACAATGATCAGAAAGCACTGGGCTATTGCTGGTTCCCTCACCAATAAATGACTCTGACCGCAAGTGCTTAGCAGAACAGGACAATGGAGTGTTAGCTAGGGTTAGTTAGGATAAGTTGAGGCTGTTAATCACTGAACACTGTAGGCACCCAGACCACTTCAGCTCATTAAAATGGTCTGGGTGCAAACTTCCATCACCCTTAACCCTGCAAGTGTATTTTTTGCAGTTTTTATAAACTGCAATAATTACCTTGCAGGGTTAAGTCCTCCTCTAGTGGCTGTCTACCAGACAGCCACTAGATTGACTTCCCGGCTTCTTAGACGACTTTTGGTCATCTAAACGACACTAGAAGTCCTCACGCTTTGCATGAGGACCTCCAGTGTTGCCGGAATCCCCATAGGAAAGCATTGAATAATGCTTTCCTATTGGGAGGTCTAATGCGCGTGTTCAGCCAATGCCGTGCATGCACATTAGGTCTCCCCCGCAGATGGAGCCTGACCCAGCACCGAGAACATCGGTGTCGGATTCAGGTGAGTGAATAAAAGGGGTTTTAACCCCTTCAACTCCAGGGGAGGGGGGCACTCCAGGATTCTCTAGTGCCAGGAAAACAGGTTTGTTTTCCTGGCACTAGAGAATCCCTTTAACTAAGATTAGGGTTAGGTAGAAATAGAATTAGCGCTATATTATATGCTTCAGCATCCCAAGCTGAATTTAGCACCTCCTAGTGGTTTTGTTACAGATACTCCCGCCACCAAAAAATGTCTGTATCATTCTGTTTAGTTGAGAAGTCAGTTAAAGCAGGGGCATACCTAGAGCATTTGGCACTCAGGGCGGAGCCTGTTTTTAACACCCCCCCCCCCTTTAAAAAGTTTTTTTTAAAACACCCACAATTTGTAAAAATGTTTTCAAGATTATTAATTGCACAAATTTAGAAGGGGGCCAGAGCAGGAGTTTTGTAGAAAGGGGCTGGTGCAAGGATTTTTTGCTAAATAGACAAGGATGGCATTTTGTACTCCCCACCCCTCCCTAATAATAGCGCCTTCACCTGTGTGTCTTGTAGCCCCCCTTTTGAATTTCTTACCCTCTTTAGTGTATTTTATCCATCCTTTACTATGTCTTCAATGCATCTTCACCTATGTGTCTCTTACAAGCCCCCCTGTGTATCGAACTTTCCTGATCACCTTTGTGTGTCTCATTCTCCCCTCCCCCATTCCCTTTGTGTATCTCTTACTTTCCCCCAAGCCCTTTGTGTGTCTCTTTCTTTCCCCCCAGCCCTGTTCTGTGGCTCTCTCCCCTCAGACAGTTTTCTGTGTCCCTACCCCCAGGGCCCATTGTGTCTTTTTCCTCCCATGCCAAATAGACATAAATATATAGCAACACTCAACCATACAGGTATACAGAATTATTCAGGCACACAGTCACAAAGATTTGCAGGCACACAATCAAACAGTCATACAGGCACACATTCATACAATCTACACATAGAGATACAATGCCTTACAAACACAGACATTCAGACACTGTCATACAGAGACATTCACACACTACGCACTGTCATATACACATACAGACACAGGCATACAAAGACATATATATCCAGTCATATAGTCATACAGAGCAGGGTCGGATCCAGAACCTAATCTCTGGAAGGGCACTGGTAGTGGCTGTAGTTAGTTGAAAAGTTAGGGGACGTAATAGAGGTGTAGTGGGGTGACAGGGGCTGTAGAGGGTGGCACATGAACTTTAGAGAGGGGACAGGGGCTGTGGTGGGGGGCAGGCATGAGCTGTTAGGGTGACAGGGACTGCTTTAAAAAGAGTAGATCATAAAAAAACAACAAAGTGTATTCTTTACCTTGGGCCAGGTAGGAGTGGAACAGGAGCTGGAGGACCCACACAGCAGCCTAGGAAGTCGGCCAGCTTCTTCTGATGATGTCAGTAGGAGGTGGTGTGGCTTCCACTGCTCTTCTCCCAGACTCCCCAGCGGTCTGGGAGAAGAGCTTTGGAAGCCACACCTCTTCCTCCTGACATCATCAGGAGAGGCCGGCCGACTTCCCTGTCCTGTGCTAGCTGCAGGGAGACAGTTAAGATGAAAAATCAGAGTCCCCGGACAGGGGCAGATGATTCAGATTTTTGCTCCCCCAGCTCTCGGCCACTGACCTGGATGCATGGGTTTTATAGAAGGGGCAAGACCAGGGGTTTTGTTGAAATCCCTCTTCTTCCCCCTTCTAAAAAACCCTTGCACCTTCCTTCACAAAAAACCCATGCCCTTCCGCCATTCTACAAAACCCCTGTCCTGCCCCCCTTATACAAAGCTCCGGTTCTTTCCCCCTTCTTACAAATTCCTGCACCGTCTTTCCATAACACTCCTGCACCTTCCTTCCATAAAACTCCTGCACCCCCATTAAAGGAACACTATAGTGTTAGGAATACAAAAAATGTATTCCTAACACTATAGAGTAGGTGACTAGGGCCCCGTTCCGTGGCGAATAAATTGTTAATTAACCATTTATTTGCTTACCTTAATCCAGCGCCGGCTCCCTCGGCACTGGTAACCTCTACTCCTCCATAAACGTCAGCTACCGAGTGGAGCCGAATGCGCATGCGTGAGGACGCCAGCATCAAATAAGTACGATTTACTCAGTGTAAATTGCGGAAGCGCCTCTAGTGGTTGTCAGGGAGACAGCCACTAGAGGCTGGATTAACCCTGCAGTGTAAACATAGCAGTTTCTCTAGGGACCTGGCACTCAGACCACTTAATTGAGCTGAAGTGGTCTGGGTGCCTATAGTGGTCCTTTAACAAACTACCCTGCCATTTCCCCATTATATAAATCCCCTGTCTTTCCCCCTTATACAAATCTTCTGTCCTGCCCCCCTTATACAAAACCTCTGCACTCCATTCCACAAATCCACTGCCACCTTCATAAAACTCCTGCACACCCTTCACAAAAAAAAAACTGTCATCCTCATACAATCCCCTGCCCTTACCCTATTCTACAAAAACCCTATCCTGCCCCTTATACAAAACCTCTGCCCTTCCCCCTTCACAAAAATCCTACACACCCTGCTATAAAATCCATGCACCCCTCTTCACAAAAAACCCTGTACCCTTCCCTTCACATAAATGCAATGCACACCTCTCGTCACATAAATACCCTGGACCCCCATTGATGATCAATCAAACAAAATGCTGATCTGCTTGCTTGGGCCTCACAGCACTATTGCCGCCACGTAGCCGCCCTCACATCTGAGTGGATCTTTTAGCTACTGGAGACCTGTGAATGTGTACAGGCCGCGCACGTTGACGTCACGTCAGCGTCATGTTGTGTGTCTCCGCACGCCTCAGCACTCCTCCCCCTGTTCCTTCATATTACTGAAATAGTATAGTGCTGGCCCGCCGCGGTGGTAATTTAGTGCTCTCCCCACTGCTTAACCAACATGTGAAAAATAGTCTATCCTACTGCGCTATTTAATACAACAGACGAGCCAACAAAATCAGGAGTGATTATGGTTGGTGTACGGTATAGTGAGTGGAACTGAATACAATTCAAGTGTGTTAAAATTTAAAATTTAAAACGAAATGAAAAATAAAAAGTATAAATAAGTTGTGCCACCGCCTAAAATTTAGATGCTATTCTTATAACCTGTAAATGAGGAACACTCAATGGAAAGGGTATAGGTGTCCTACGTGAACTAAGTAGAAAACACCACAATCTCCTCTATAGTGTATGGAGAACTAGTAATTCCCTTCCAGGAGGGGACCAATAGTTATCTCTAATGTTAAAGTACAGATATGTATGTGTTGTTTCACATAAAGAATGACATAGTTAAGTAAAAACAAAGAGTATCATTAGGGACCATGCCACTAAACAGTACTTTCAGCCGTTAGTGTAAAGATTAGGTAGTCGCTATGATACAAGAAACCCAAATAGAATTCCCTCTTATAATTGCCTCTTATGAATACCAGAGAGTAATTTGTCCAAGATTGAATTATTCACTGTTAATTGCTCTATCTAGTGCTTGTGGTCGGAGAATAAGTAAAGGGACACTATAAATACCAAAACAACTACAGCTTAATGTAATTGTTCTGGTGTCTACTGCTTCTCCCTGCAAGTTTTTTAATGTAAACACCACCTTCTCAAAGAAAAGTCTGTGTTTACATTACTGCCTAGGGACACCTCCAGTGGCAGTCAGACGGCCACTACAGGGAGTGCAGAATTATTAGGCAAGTTGTATTTTTGAGGATTAATTTTATTATTGAACAACAACCATGTTCTCAATGAACCCAAAAAACTCATTAATATCAAAGCTGAATATTTTTGGAAGTAGTTTTAGTTTGTTTTTAGTTATAGCTATGTTAGGGGGATATCTGTGTGTGCAGGTGACTATTACTGTGCATAATTATTAGGCAACTTAACAAAAAACAAATATATACCCATTTAAATTATTTATTATTACCAGTGAAACCAATATAACATCTCAACATTCACAAATATACATTTCTGACATTCAAAAACAAAACAAAAACAAATCAGTGACCAATATAGCCACCTTTCTTTGCAAGGACACTCAAAAGCCTGCCATCCATGGATTCTGTCAGTGTTTTGATCTGTTCACCATCAACATTGCGTGCAGCAGCAACCACAGCCTCCCAGACACTGTTCAGAGAGGTGTACTGTTTTCCTCCTTGTAAATCTCACATTTGATGATGGACCACAGGTTCTCAATGGGGTTCAGATCAGGTGAACAAGGAGGCCATGTCATTAGATTTTCTTCTTTTATACCCTTTCTTGCCAGCCACGCTGTGGAGTACTTGGACGCGTGTGATGGAGCATTGTCCTGCATGAAAATCATGTTTTTCTTGAAGGATGCAGACTTCTTCCTGTACCACTGCTTGAAGAAGGTGTCTTCCAGGAACTGGCAGTAGGACTGGGAGTTGAGCTTGACTCCATCCTCAACCCGAAAAGGCCCCACAAGCTCATCTTTGATGATACCAGCCCAAACCAGTACTCCACCTCCACCTTGCTGGCGTCTGAGTCGGACTGGAGCTCTCTGCCCTTTACCAATCCAGCCACGGGCCCATCCATCTGGCCCATCAAGACTCACTCTCATTTCATCAGTCCATAAAACCTTAGAAAAATCAGTCTTGAGATATTTCTTGGCCCAGTCTTGACGTTTCAGCTTGTGTGTCTTGTTCAGTGGTGGTCGTCTTTCAGCCTTTCTTACCTTGGCCATGTCTCTGAGTATTGCACACCTTGTGCTTTTGGGCACTCCAGTGATGTTGCAGCTCTGAAATATGGCCAAACTGGTGGCAAGTGGCATCGTGGCAGCTGCACGCTTGACTTTTCTCAGTTCATGGGCAGTTATTTTGCGCCTTGGTTTTTCCACACGCTTCTTGCGACCCTGTTGACTATTTTGAATGAAACGCTTGATTGTTCGATGATCACGCTTCAGAAGCTTTGCAATTTTAAGAGTGCTGCATCCCTCTGCAAGATATCTCACTATTTTTGACTTTTCTGAGCCTGTCAAGTCCTTCTTTTGACCCATTTTGCCAAAGGAAAGGAAGTTGCCTAATAATTATGCACACCTGATATAGGGTGTTGATGTCATTAGACCACACCCTTCTCATTACAGAGATGCACATCACCTAATATGCTTAATTGGTAGTAGGCTTTCGAGCCTATACAGCCTGGAGTAAGACAACATGCATAAAGAGGATGATGTGGTCAAAATACTAATTTGCCTAATAATTCTGCACTCCCTGTAGAGGTGCTTCCTGGGTATGTGCTGCACAGTGTGCAGCACTGGTGTACAGTATCTCAAAGCTCTGCATGGAGACACTGACCGCTCCCCATAGAGATGCATTGAGGCCAGGGCATCAAACATCTATTTAGCCACTATATGTGTTCTTTGAATAACTGCCTATTCTGCTGAATAAATATTATTAAAACCATATAAACCCCAGATTTACACTATGGAGCAGAATTTCTTACCTAGAAGTTGGTAGAAAGCTTCCCTTTGCTCTCTTCCTTTGATGTCCAGGTGCCGTTCGTCTTCCTGTCCTGGGACAATGTTAGCATTTTTTGTCCTTCGTTTGGAAGCTGGTGAAGACCTGTTGTGGGAGAAAACCAGATGGTCCATAAGGTGTGTCTTTTATTGCTTAAAACCACTTTTTAAAAAATCCATTGTGTCAGTGCAGCTACTATATGCATATGTACTCTATGCAAATATGGGATTTTAGCAATGACTATTTTTCTATAAGGAAACACTGAGGAGTGATATAATTAATATGGTGTGGTGGGATATGACAGGCCTTAAAGAAACACTATATTGTTGGGAAAAACTGTTAGTGGCCTAGTCCCTCGTTACATATAGATTTCCTCCCATTTGCAATAAAAATATATAAACGTGTTATTTATCTTTTTCCAGTGTCCAATCTCCCCTGTGCTGTTCACCTCTTTTAATCCCTCATTGTCTTTGTAGAAACATTGCTTCCTCTGTATATATCTCATACGCTTTTGGTGCTTCGCGTGCATCAAAGCTTCCCCATAGGAAAGCATTGTATTAATGCCCTCCTATGGGCTTCCACGTCATGTGACCGAGTTTTATTCAGACAGTATCTCTAGTGACTGTCAGTACAATGCAATGTAAACCGTGCAATTAAAAAAAAAATGGTTAAAAGAACAGGGCCATTGCAGCCAGATTACTATAGTGTTCCTTTAAGTGAAATATGTTCTTTCCTTTAGTGTTACTTATTTTTCTTGCTCTCTGTCTCCCAAGAGCTAACGTCCAGCAAAATCAGAATGTATTTTATATAATCAAAAGCGTTCAATGTTGAAAATCACATCCTTAAATGCTGACTATAGCATTAGGAACACTGTATACATAATGCTGTGTTGTCCATGTCTCTAACTTAATAGTTCCCCCATCCCTTATGGTCCAGTGAATAACGGGTTAAAACACAATTTTTTCCAACTTACCTCTTTTCAACGCCATGGTCTCATCCAGCTACATCACAGCATTGGTGGAACCTAATGCACAGCGAGCACCATTCACACATTAACTATCTCAAAGAAAGCATTGAATCAAATAGTGAGGACGTCCAATGTCCTTTCACAGAGTAAAACTATGTTAGGGATCAGGAAGCAGCTCTACTGGCTGTTTAGAAGAACTCTGTAGTGTTTTACATTGCAGAGTTAAACCGACAGGGCAATTCACCCAGACCACTTCAATGAGATGAAGTAGTCTAAGTGCCTATAGTGTCCCTTTAATGTAAGCGGAATAGAAATGTATGTCATATTTTACTTACTGCTTCTCATTGGAAGTGGATCCCGTTAATTCCCCTTCTGGGCGCTTCCTCTTCTGCAAGCAAGAATCCTTCTTCTGCCGCACGTTAGGGAATTGTCTGAAAGATAAACTGGATTTTACATGTTTGTAATGGAATAATATGAGGCATGGCCTTAATTCACCAAACAGATAATTGATGTCTTACTCCATATTGATAATGCTGTGTTGGCGAAATGCGTTTATGGATATTATTTTGTGTATTTTTATATATTAAAGTATATTTGGTTACTTTTTATTTGTGCCATTTATCTTTTTATACACATTTATTTATTTTTTTACCTGGCATCTTCTCAACATCCTGGACTCCAAGTAATCCTAGTTGGGGATCATACCACCAGCGCTAACGTTTAGGAGCAGTTGGTCTGCTCCTGTCTTGTGAGTACCCATTTTATTTATTTTCCCACCAATATTTTACTCAGTGTACACTATTGGCTGTTTCTTCTTATCCGAGTGTTGAATATACCACTGACGGAGGAAGCTCACCTTATATCCCATAAGCGGGGATTAAACCGCTGTACGCCCTTCATACTAGAGCGAGTTAAAGCTCTGACAAATGTGAGTTTTATTTCAGCCTTTTATTATTTTTATCCTTTTATTCTGAAGCATACTGCACTATTTGGTTCTCCACTTTTTTATCTTCTATATACGAGCGGACCCATACCGAAGAGAACAAAAAGCACAATTGTTCTGGATCAAGCACGGATAGATTCTACGACCTCAATAAAAACATTTTAGATAAGACTTTTTAAATTCTTCTCATTTTCTCTGACTATTTGTTATTTTTTATATCGCGTTTTCCTTGGCGCAGCCCTTATTTCTTATTCTTTCTCCTTTTCAGATAATTGATGTGAATAATGGCCATTTTAGAAAAACATTGAAAGCTTTGCTATGTTAGCAATATTTTGCACTTGATTTTCATTTTGTGACAATTAACTGTTTAGAAACAGATCCTAATAATGTTAATGTATGCACCATATCTTATTTAAATTTGTTCTTCAGTCTATAAATGCTGGTTAGAAATATCGGGTTTATTCCCTGGTGACCGGATTATATTGAATGAAAATCCAGCTGCAAATGTAGGCTGAAAGAGCCACACTGTCTCTATATCTGAGTAAATTTTTTCCCCAAATCAGCTATTGATAAATAATTATTTTCAATACAATGTTCAATTCTTTACATGTCACTATGTAGTAAATGTGGCGGAACCAGCCTCGCCACTGGGCATCGGAGAAAACTGATTGCCAGCCTCCTGCCCTGTGACTATGGCCCCATGTTGAAATGCTGGATTTTCCCCTGCAAAGACCCGAAAGCCGGGTCATTCGGTACTTTCCCTATGTGAGCAGTGTTACCCCAGTTAGCTATGCCATGGAGACCATTCGTATAACGAAAGACTATGTGAAAGACTTTGGCTCCATGGCAATTGAACTGTATGTATGTGATCTGAGCACCATTCAGTAATAATTTGCACTCAGATCTAAGCTATCTGGGGATATGTTGAATGTACCCGTTTTATGCAATCGCTGCACAGTTATATATTTTTATGTATTTTATTTTGCTACCATGTGGCTAATGGAGTTTTGCCTCTGTCCTTGGAGATAATTGGATTACTTCCCAATTATCTCCAGGATAGAAGACTCTGTGGAACTGGTTTTGGGTAGAAAAACCATGCTTTATTTTGTCAAATAGGACTTTCCCTTAACTTTTTAACCCCTGGACCGATTGCCCTGATTTTTGAGTATGTGTATATTTCAAGCATGCGGATTCTGAAAATGTATGTTTTATGTGAATGGCATGTATATTTTGGAAGTTATTAATATTTTGTAAAAACTGTATTTCTCTGCATGTGATAATTATATTACCCATTGTGTTCAGTAATCATATCACAGGCAGATGGGAGGATTTTGTGTGGGAGTGTCTGTGTGTATTGTATGGATTGATTGGTTGTATTTCAAAACCCTGTGGGCAGTACTATGTTTGTGGATTATGAATAAAAGAGGCTGTATATGCCAGTACAGTCAGTTCTGCTTGACCTCAAAATGAAGTGTCGTCTCGTATTTGGGGGAATTGGATTGTATGCTGATTGCCAGGAGTGTAAGCTGATTGTATGCTTTTCCTGTTCAGTTGTTTACAGAATTCATATGCTTGAGAGCATTTGTATGCCTCTCCGCTTCGGTGGTTGTGGTGTCTGCTGCAGTGCTTGGAGTCCTCAGAAAGCGCTAGGAGCATCTTTCAACAGAGGTACCCAGTCGGGGTGCCAGGTGATCCGTTACAGTAAATAAACAACCTTTGTATGTGTAATGCTGCTCTTTTACGGCCAGCTATGATTTTTTTATGAAACAATCAGACAGTTGTGGTTCTGATATAACATGGACATGTTAAGTATTATTCACCAAACTGGGAATTGCCAGAAGCACAGTAGAGGAGTTTAGTAGCAAAGTTTATATTTTAGACCAAAACAGTCAAATTGGGAAAAGGAAAACAGCCACTCATTTATGTTTCCACTTCAGCTAATTTTGTTACATTTGCAATTCCTTGTTTGAAATAATGACAATTATTATTATTGATCTGTGAATAACCATCAAGGATCTTTACTAAAGTGTGAATTGTCATGAATTTAAAGTTAACTTAAACTGTTAGCACAAAATAGCCAAAGCTGAAACATAGCTAGGTAGGAGATAAACATGTAGGCCTGACATTTGAAATTCACTCAAACTTTCTGATAATTAAATCCTGCATGAGTGTGGCTTCTGCCAATAATGAAATATCTATATTGAAATTTACCATTTCATCATTGAGAATGTAGTAACCCTTATTTGTTTCATTACTAATATTAAGTATCTACTAAGGATTCCCTAATCTAACTTTATTTCATAAAATAAATATTCTGTGTTCACTTACCCAAGGGACATGCCTGTAGCTCCCACTCACACTCAGGCAGTGTAGGAAAAAGGTGAAATACAAAACAAGTAAATAATTAATTATTTCCCAATAATATAATAAAATATGTAGTATGGTAATATTCAGAAATGCTATCTAATATTTAATCTGTATATATTAAATATTTTACTAAATATGATAACTTAACCAAATTCAATTAGATTAAATTAAAATTCTATTTCTAGACAATATAAATGTATATAATATAATATAAGATATCACGGAACAGCCAGTGAATCAGCCAACAAGTCTTCCTCCAGCGCTGTCAGCAGTTGAGGATCCTCGTGGTTTGAATGAATACAACTGAAATCACCATGGCATCCCTGCACTGATTGGTTGGATTTATGTGATGTCACCATTCTGAGATAGTTAGAGCTGCTTTATAAGCACAGTGTCAGCTGTTTTATAGCAGGAATCACTAAATATAGGAATTGTTCCCCCGATACAGAGTATCACACATTAACATGTTCCATCAATGTTTCTAAAGGACTATTGAATACGCTTTAAATGAGCTGATATCACCTGCACGTCTGCTTATTTCAGGGGAGTGAAAATCTTTCCCTGTCAAACCTTGTGCTGGCAGAAGCTGATGGACAGGAAAACAAGATCCATTTTGTATGGGTGCTGGAATAATATATAAAAAGTTGCAGTTATTCACTAAAGTAAGAATTCCTGGGAATTCTAAGTGAATAAAAAATTTCTGCCGAAATATCCAAATGAGAAATCTTCCCATCTCAATTCTGTTTTCAGTTTGGTTATTTTGGTCTTAAATTTGACATTTACTTTGATCTCCATTCTCACTTTAGATGGGTTGTCTTAATCAGGTATTGCTGTTTGATTATAAACAAAGGTGCACATTTTGAGCATTTTTATAATTTTTGTTATCTTCAAATTTGGGTTGTATTATTTAAATCTGTGTAAAACCAGAGATGGTGGAAGGATTTTTGGGTACAGAGGCAAAGATGCATTCTGTCAAGCCCCCGTAAAAAATGGTGTCTTTAGCCATGTGTCTCTTAACCTCCTTTTAAATGTATTACCCCACTTGTTTTACTTTTTCCTTCTTTTGAATGTCTTATCCCCCTTTCATGCCTTACACCTCCTTTTGCTTTTCTTTCTTTCCCCAGTTCCAGAACATTTAGATAGAAGCATCTCAATCTTAGAATTATTGCAGCAACCATCCGTCATGGGTACCTGGAGTCTGTCATGGTGCTGCCTGTGTTCTCTCAGTGGGCGCAACATGCGTCTCTCTCCGGGCCGGCTGCACTTGCCACTTGGGTCCTTGCAGACACCAGTCACTGCACGATGAGCCTTTAAGGGTTTGCCTCCGCTGTCATAGTTAATGATGCAAACTTGTGTGCAAAATGACCAGTGGCTGCCCTCTTAAAGTTCTATAACCTCTTCTTTGGATTTGTACTGTGTCCTCTCGTGATTTGCATTTTATGGTTGTCAGAGATTCATTGATTGTATCATTGGATTTTCTGCCCTTGGGTTGTGTATGACTATTCTTCTTCCTGTATCCCTTGACCTTTGGCTTGTGTTATCGCACGTTGTCTCATTCTGTGTCCCTTATCTCAGTTTGTCTTATACTATTCTATATAGCATTATATCCGGCCACTTTAAGGCCCGGTAATATGCTTTATTAGCATTAGGTCTTGTTTAGGCTAACTGTTAACTTAAGTTCTGCGTGTTTGGTCTTAGTACATTCTGACAATATTCTTACTTAATACAGGTTAGTCACCTCCCATTTAGTTTATTAACGCTTGGGAAAAGCATCTTGGAAAATCGTTTTTGGAGAAGCAGTGGGAGGTAATGTTTATGTTCGCACACCAGTCTTCTCTAGACTCAAAGATCCATGAAATTAATTATAAATTATTGAGGTGGTATAAAACCCCTAAGCTCCAACTGTCCCTAATAATTGCTGTCAGTGCCGGTACGGGGTTGGTATCCTTTTGCACATATGGAGGAGTTGCCCGCTTATTGCTTTCTTTCGGAATTTGATTCATGAAGAGCTAGCTAAGATACTGGGGGGAAACTCCTCTATTGATGCCTGAATTTATGTTGCTACTTCATTTATCTGTAACAATCTCCAAAGAAGAAGCATAATAAGGCACTTACTTAAAGGGACACTGTAGGCATCCAGACCACTTCAGCTCATTGAAGTGTGAAAGGGTTAATGTTGTAATGGACTCTAATCCCCTCGGTTCTCGATCCCTCGGTCACCATAATCAATGTTGATGGAGAATCATTTGTAAGCAATAACACACGGACAACAGCTTTACAAGACTCTCAAATGAGTGTATTCCAGAGCTGGCTTTTATAAATAGTTTGCTTACATTAGCCATGGTATATGCAAATACAGTACAGACTATAAGATTTATTACTTCCTTATATTACGTTATTCTGACAATGGAAAGATAAGCTTTTGCATACGTCTGGAAAAGAATATCCTTAAAATCGGAATGGGCAAGACATCCTGAAATTTAGCATTGTCTTACATCCTATAGAAGAAATACCTTAGTCTGTCACAGTCAGCATATTGACTTTAAGTATTCAATATCCCTTCAGTCAGCAATAATCATTTTATAAACCTTATAAAAGCATAAAATACATATAAACAAGTTAACTATTTAATATTCTTACATTCCCCTCTTTGAGCAATAAAACAATTGCTCATCTTATCGATAAAATCTTACCAGGACAGAGAAACTTCCACATGGTATTTTCAGGGGTGCTAGTCACTCCCTGCGGGACTTTCATTAATTTCTTCACCTCGATTCCCATGTGGTAATTCCTAAGGCCCAGTTTAAAGATGGGTTGATACTCTACAGTGGCAGAGAGGAGAATTTTTAATTGTTTCTGTTCTGCATTATGGATTCATTTCTGTACTCTCTTCCTCAATGTACAAGTAAGGTGACAGTTATATAAAATCATACACAATAAAATCAGGACTATAATAACAAAAGGATAGAAGAATGATTTCATTATCTGGAATCCAGTAGGGGACCAACCAGTAAAAGCATCGTACCAATGATGGACTAAATCATTCTGAATCTGTGAACTCACCTTAAGGAGTTCTCCTTTTAGGATATGTGTGGCTACCTGTGTGTGTTATCTTTGGGAAAAATATAGTCCCCTGTGTATGTGGGTGCCCACCAGGTTAAATTCTTGGCAAAAAGATCATAAACTGGTACTGGTAATGTGTTAAATTGACAAGCTAATTTAACATCCTTTGATGTTGTATGATATAATGTAAAATAGCATGAGCATGAAAAATGTGAAACATTACCAGTTAACCATCCATTGCATTTACTGGATTGGGGTTTTAGAAGTAACCATTCATTATCTGTGAGGTTACGCTTTCCTCTAATCTTCTCTAGTTTAGGAATCATTAGTGTGTTTTCTAATGCCAATCCTTGTTGTTGTATCCATAAATACCTGATGGCACAAGTACTCCAGTTACTTAGATCTGTAGTGAATTTCATAGTTGCAACAGTTAAATTATCTAAATAATTATACATTGATTTATCTAAATCCAATCCTATAACCTGTGATTTAACAACAATTGGAGCCCAATTTGCAGTAGCATGAAAACCAGTCCCTATATGCATGCTGGCTGTGTTTAACTTATTCTTGAGGGTCTCCATATCTATAACTATTTAGTATACCCATAGTGGTTCCAGCACCTCCTAACAGTGTGTCATACCATTCCCTTTTCTGCCTTTTGTTTGTTGTGTTACATAATGTTACAACAGGAGTAGTGATTTTTAATGACACATGTACAGCTTGTAAGAAGGCAGTTGTATTAACACATGTGGACGGAATAGGTGTGTGTGTGTCGTGGTTGACTTTTGGTTCTATGATAGTGGATGAAGGACAGTAATAAGGTGTAAAAATATAAGGTAGTGTATAGTTCTCAATTGTAGTGTCGTTCATAATGACTAACATTTGTCCCCTTCTCCAATTAATGATACCAGTTATATAATCATTATTAAAAGTAATAAGGCCTGTCTGTTTACATTGATATGCAACCTTAACTGTGCACATTTCTGCGTTATAAGATCTAACAATTTTCTGTGAACCTTTAAACAAACATAATGCATCGGTTTCATTAGCTGTAGACACATTTCATATGGGTAACTGGTACTTATAAGGGTTACTATTTGTCCAACTCATCCAAATGCGTTCAGTAAATGAATGATTGCATATTGCATGCTGATAGAAAGGTGGTGGAGAAAGGTTCTTGAGGGGGCGTGTGTGACGAATGCTAGATGAGGGGCTAAGGCCTAATTGGGCTGGGGGTATTGAAGAATTGTTCATCATGTCAGAGTCTTTTTCCAGAACTTGCCATTGACTTGTACTCATAATGGCATTCAAGGAACAATATCAGAGGGAGTATAACAACTCCAGAAAGCATAGCGCACAACATAATCTTGGTCTCAGGTACGTATGATCCTCTCAATCTACGATATGGTGTAAAAGCCATGATGCTTCGCTGAGGAGAAATTCTTCTGTTTCCGAGCGAGGAGTGGTGTTGTCTTCCTTGGTTCCCCTCTTTGGACACAGCTTCACTCGGGATGCGTGAATCCAGATGTCGTGGGAATCTGTGAGGACAGCGGTTCTTGGTACAGCAATCACAGTAGCAGGTGGTCCAAAAGGGTATCCTCCTTTCTTGGTCCTGTTCAACTGACGGATATACACCTTGTCACCGGGCTGGTATGAATGAGTAGGTTCCTGTGAAGGTAAGGGAAAACTGCGAAGAAACATTGTCATACATACCATTCGGTTTTATCAACAATTCCTGTACATATTGTTCTTGTATAAGCTGTAAATCCCCAGACATTATAACAAGCGGTTGCCTGGCCCAGGGTGTGGGAAAAGGTCATCCCATCAAAAATCTCAAATGGAGATAATTTAGTCACCTTGTGAGGAATCACTCTTATCTCAGCTAAAATAGCTGGTAGATATCTAGTCCAATTTACCCATGTTCCTGGGTAAATTCTGGGCTTTTCCTTAATAGTCCTATTCATCCTTTCAACTACCCCTGTATTCTGTGGATGATAGGGTATATGAAACTGCCAGGTAACTTGCAAGAATTTAGCAAGTTCCTGGGCAACCTTATTTGCAAAAACCGGGCCATTATCAGAGCCAATCTGCAGAGGGCAGCCATACCTGGGAATAATTTCAGTAACAATAATCTTCACTAGAATCTTCCCTAGATATCACAAAGGCCTCATGCCATCTACTAAACTGATCAACTATGACCAGTAAGTATTGCTGTTTCTTACCAATTTTGGATACATGAATAAAATCAATCTGTAAGTGTGTAAAAAGAGCAGCGTTCACACGATCTTACAAAAGACTGTACATGCTGCCTGAGATTCCTAATATAAAATGAATTCATGAGGAATTGAATGGTGCTTGCTATGTGCCTGACTGATGAAAATAAAGCAGCTTGCTTCAAGTATGCCTATTCTTCAAGTATGCCTATTCTCCCCTCTTTAGAGAACAGATCATTCTGATCTTTCTCTAAACCTTATTTAATCCAAAAACAGATTCTGGGTATTAAAAAAAGAATCTCATAACCACTGAAGCGCTGGGCTGTCATGTGTTGTGTGGTGAGATTTGTCATCAGCTGAGTGACCTGGTGACTGGCATGAAGTATTGTAGGATGCCCTAGTGTGATAGTAGTAGCAGTTTCAACAGCCATTGCACATGCTATCAATGCTCTGAGACACGCCGGCATACCCTGTACCGGAGCTTGAACTACTTTGGAAAAGAATGCTATGGGACGCATACCGCCTCCTTGCTCTTGTGCACAGACCGCGGCCATGGTTTTACAATTGTCCCAAGCATACAAATGAAATGGTTTACAATACACAGGTAGTCCTAAAGCCTGGGCTTGCACAATAACAACTGTAAGGGCAATATATGCAGCTAGCATGTCTGGTGACCAGCAGACATTTTCAGGGTTGTCAGAACGTACAGCCTCCCTTAGGATTGAGTCATAATGGGAGCATTCAGGGATCCATTGGTGGCAGTAATTAATCATGCCGAGGAAGGTGAGCAACTCCTTCCGAGTAGTGGGTGTAGGAATCCTCTGAATGACCTCAATACATTTTGGACTCAATTGTCTGGTGCCTAAAGCCAGAACAAAACCTAAGTATTCAACCTTTGATTTACACAATTGCATTTTGTGTTTAACAACCTTGTGACCCACAGTTGCTGACAGTATCCACAGTGCTTGCCTCATAGCTAGGGCTACATAACAACAAATCATCAACATTTTGCAAAAAGGACGGAACCATGACCGGTGGTCCATGTTTTTTAGAGTATGTTAGAGTACCAACGAATAAACAGCTGGGGAATCCACATAGCCTTGGGTAAGCGTGTCCAGGTAAACTGACAGCCTTCAAAAAGTAAAAACCATAAGTAGCTGTGTCTCTTGATCAATAGGTATAGAAAAAATGCATTACTTAAATCAATGACAGTGAAGCAAGTGGCATCATGTGGAATGGCTGTAATGAGGGATGTCACGTCAGGGACAATGGGTGAAATGGGCACAATTAAACTATTCAGGGCTCTAAAGTCCTGAACTAAGCGATATGCTGGCCAGTGGTGTTGGGAGTGGGTCTGGTGTTGTTCTTGCCTACCGGGCATATTTTGAGAAAGGTGGGGTTGTTGGGGTGTGTGGGGTTTCCTGGGGTTTCCTGGGATGTGGACACTCATTCCTCCAGTGGCCATATTGTCCACAGTTGAAACAAGTGTTCCTGTCTATTCCTCCTTGGTTACCCCTGCCCCTATAACCCTGATTTCCCTGTCTCCATCCCCTTGCCCCTCTTTGACCACCCCTTCCACGGGCTTTATGTGCTCCATCCCATCCTCGCTCTCAGCCTGTGTAGTGGACATAATATGTTGCAATCCCTGAGCATAATAAGCAACCTTACTTTCCTAAATCTTTTCTTAATTCAAAACAACCTGCATTTTCCTTTTCTATAACCTTGGTAAGAAAATCTGAGCTATCCAAATTGGCCCAGTCTGAAATCAATTGTTTCACAAGCAAAGAATACTGTGGCAACATATTACCAAGGCATGACTGTATTTTAAAGAGATCTATATCATCTCCAGACATCAAACCTGCCTCATCCTTCCAACACTTGTAAAATTTCTTTACAAAAATCATATTACCAATCTCTTCCTTTGCATCCCGCTTAAATGCCAAAGCAGTGAATATAGACTGCTTATTCTTCCATAATCCCAACATTTCAGCTTCCACCTTGTTCCAAATTTTAGCACATCTTACTGAAGTACTAAGCTCATAATCACCAATTCATTTCAAACCATATAACTCATACTCAGCATCCAATGTAATATTAGTCATCTCATAAAACAATATCTTTGTAGAAACACATAATGGGTACCCAGCAGATATGCCAATACAGAAATCACATTTATGGGCACACAACTACACACTCTGTCTCCCTCCTAGGAAACACGGATACACACAATATAAAAGCAATCTTAAACTAACACCTCCAAATCTCCAACTATTCTTGGCCAAAACGCTAGTATTCAACAACTAATAAAACAGTTATTTGCTAGGTTATTTGGTTGTCATTCTTATCAGTATCACTAGACTGTGACAAACTGATTCACATATAATTTAAAACAATACAGCAACATATAAATTAAACCACTTTCAAGTTAAACTGCACACTTATCACACATTATCACAATCACCATTTACACAGAATAAACAGCTGTATTCAGAACATATTATTGGAAGGTATACCAATTTTAGTTTAGATTTATTTTAGGGATTCTTATGTATACATTTTCTTAATTAACTTCATTACTTTAATCTACTATAGTATTGTATTTAAAGAAAGGATCCATTTATATAGCGCGCTCATAACTCAACTATTTGTATAAAACTTCCATTAACTAATCTGAGATGATGCTGCATCAATTTAAATCCTATAGAAATTGAACAAACATCTGGACCAGATTAAACAGACATGGTTTCACCTGAATCTTTCAGAGCTCTCAGAGACTTAAAAAATTTATACTATACCATGTTTTAAAGGCATGGCAAACCTTTAGACCGGTCAGTCTCCAAGAGCCCTTAGTAACACAGGTAAAAACCTTTGTCCATGATGTCTGATTCAGGCTATATACCACAATTTAAAATATCACATAATGTGAGACATAGAAGACACAAGCAGTAGTTATTACACTGGATCATTTAAAAGGAACCTGTTGCAATAAAAAGGTTAATTTACAGTGCAAAATAAAGCATGTGTTGGACCGCTGAAAATGTAAATGTTGCTCTGTTATTTTCAAACATAAAATTATATTTACAGTATGGATCTTTTGCAACAAACACACAGGGCAGGGAAGATGTGCTGATTGGTGTTTCTATACAATTAATCCCATATGGGGAATTAACTTTCAAATACTAATGAAGTGACTTTTTGTCTCAGTTATAAAATATACTGAGCTCATCATGCAAACAATGTAACACATTTACACTATCCCACTCTCATAATAAGTGTAGTGGGCTTATAGTATTTTTAAAGCAACAATCATACCAGGCACACAGTTCCCATGTGAAATAACTTACAATAAAACAGAGTAATAAACTTATACTTCTATGCGACAGAAAGAATAAAGCAAAAAGATTTAAGTAGGTCTATCAGGTACAACCTGTGAGTCATTTCTTTTCTAATATACAGTACTGCTATCTTGCAAAAAGATAAGTCCTGCGCTCACTCCCATCACTACTGGACAGCAGCAAGGACTACAGTACACATCAGCCCCAATATATGGTAAAAACCAAAGAAAAAACAAGTTACCTGCGTTCTCTCCTTAATCCCTATGTATTTTTAAAACCTCCATTTGTTTAAAAGTACTGCTATCTTATATATACACATATACATATACACACACATATATACATACATATATACATATATACATACACACACATATACATGTACATATATTGGTCACTCAGGACATGAACTCACATTTCCCATACTGCTGACTCAGAGTGGGGACACTACTAACTTACCAAAGTGTGTCCCCAATATAGACAATCAATCACCCACAAAAAACACTTAAGACAAACAAAGGTGACCGGGAGAAAGAGAAGTTTGGGTTATACTTAAAGATCTACAAACCGTGCTGCTCAGAACACCTATAGACTTAATAAACCAGAGACCTCTTATGGTCTCAAAACCTGTATCTAC